TCCCAGTGAAAGCTAACACACTCAGCTAGTGTTTAGTATGTTCTTTTCATAGAGGTTGGGAAGACTACCAAAAGTGTAATTACACTAGAGAGAGAGTTGGAGACCTAATTAATCACACATTGACAAGATCCCTCATGCTGAGACATTTCACAGGGAGCATTGGGAGTGCCTTAAGTAACTTACTCAGGTACATACTTTGGGAGTGAAGAATAAATTAGTAGGAAATTGGCTGGACACAAAGGAAATCTTGGAATGCAGTAGGAGGCTGGACCAAGCTCACTGAAACTGGTCTTTTTCTTCATTTTTATAAAACATGGATTCTCTATTGGTATACCCAAAAGATCATTTGCATCATGACAGGAGTGAAAATGCTCTTGAGGATGCTTTTTTCATAACTGTGCCTCCAAAATTAGATACTAAATAATAATTTGACTTTCAAAGATAGTCAGCATTTGACAGCAATCTTTGATTTCTTGCCAGGAAGGGACAGATTCCACTAACACCCAACTATTGCACTTGCATAAGCATATCCATTAAGTTCAAAAGAATTCAGTGGATATACTCATACTGCTGAATATCTTCTTATTCTTTGAAAATATTCTTGTCCAGAGTGGATTCAAAGTTCCTCAATTTTCACAGGGCCTATAATGAGGGGTCTGGCTTTCATTTCATTGTTTCCATAAAGGTGTTTCCAAAAATCTCTCCTGCATTCAAGCCTGGTTTTATTCCTTGTCTATTGGTTAATATAACTCTAAGAAATGATGCTCCTTTTAAGAATAAAACAACTCAAAATTTCCTCTCCTTCTTTCATATTGCTGAACTTGGAAAAGCCTGAAAATTTGCTGACTTTTCTCAACTGTTTGAACAGTTTTTTAGGAACAATGGGACTATTAAAAAAGAAATCCTCTTGAAAATGCAGTTAAACTATCTATCAATCTGGAGCAACAACACCTCAAACCCAGTTTCAGTTGTGGCTACAATAATAGAATTAAGCCTAACGGGACTCCTGGCAGGACTTTACATCCTCTCTCCACCAGATAGTGCTGTTTCTCCACAGAGCTGTGGAGGATGCACCGGCCAGGGAAAGGTCGGGGGCCGTCTGAGATTACAGGCTGCCTACAGCTTGTTCGTCCCACCTTGCCGCTGCCACCGCCGCTCCCTGACACAGGGCAGGCGCAGCCTAAGAGGGATTTGCGGGACTAAAACCGTGCCTTGGGAGGCCGCTGTCTGCAGGTGACTGCGTGCTGGCACTGCCATTGCTGCTATCAGTTTGATGTAGGCTGTTTCCTAAAGTAAGAATGAAAATAGAAGCTGATGCAATTAGCCTGTGTTTTTATGATCTCTTGGGGGTCTTTTCCTTTTCCAGTTGAACAGCACAAACAAGAGAGAGCAGCCCTGACACAAAGGCTGTTTGCTCTCAGAGTGCTGAACAAAGGGCCTTCTTCAGCAAAAGTTACTTCTGGAGAGTAAACAGACGACCTTAACCAGTCTTGAGTCTAGATACCCTGACCCTCCGTGCATTAAAAAACAACATAGCTGGAAAAAATAGCTAAAATGTAATAAAACTTCAGGCCATGGTTTTCCGTGCTGCTGCAGCCTTTGTAACAGAGAACAGAAATGCATCTGGAATACTTCTTACTGCCCTTCTGCAGGGGAAATACTGCAAGTGCTGCATCTTCCTCTCCAGACCTCCCTGTGCACAATAGAATAGCTTTTGCTTTTCATCTCCTTGAGAACCAAATCCTTCCGTATGCACAGAAAGCTAGCAGAAAAATATTAAAATACTTTTGTTTAGAGAAAATATTAAAAAACTTTTCAAGTGGAAAATGGTACTTGGAATGTTCTTTGCTTCTATTACTCAGAGTTTTTGCAACCACTGAGCCAAGTATTTAGATGAACTTCCAAGAAGCATTGTCATGTTGCTCCATGTACCTGAGTTACTGGATTTTAAGAATACTTTTCCAGGGTACATTGGTTAAGAACTGCTTAGTGATAAAAGTTCAGTCTTGACATAAACATGTTTTTCTGAAATACAATTTAAAACAAACAAACAAAGAAACAAAAAACTCCACTTAAAATCAAATTAAAACTGTGCAAGATATTTGTATTTTTCTAAGCAATGTAAGGCTGGAGCTGTCTGATCCTAAGTGAGCTTGTAAATCCCTATTCATGCAGGCAGACATTTATTCTTAGAAGAAATAATTTGTGAAACCAAACTTTAGCTTGCTTCAGTGTCTGGAAAAGTGCAGATGGCTCGAATTAGGGATCAGGGCCTAGCTAGGTATGCAGTAGACTAGATATGTAATTAGTCAAATATAAGGTCTATTTATTATTTTGTATGCTGTGTTAATAATGTCTGTATTTATTCAGACTTTCGTAATATGCATGTGTAATCTCAGAGAGATGCTAGGTCATTAAACTCACCATGGAGACTCTGTTTACCTACCTTGGGCAAACAGAATACATGCAGTTGTAGTTCTCTAAAAATAACCAGAAAAAAAATCAAACAGTGTATCGGTTTGGCTTTCATGTTTTTCAATAAGTATCTAAGGAAATGGAGCATACTATGTACATTGCCCTTATTGAGAAAGACCACAAAAATATCCAGCCAAAAGATTTAATTATAGTGTTCTTTCTCACACGCTAAATGTAAGACCATAGAGTTTAATATATAGTACTATATGCATCAGGTAGTGTAGGGGGCTGGGAGGAAAGGAGCAGGTCCTTCTCGTACTTCTGGTGGGGCCTGTGAGTATGAGCTTTTACAAAAGTAACACGATAGATGTGTCACGGCTGCTGTGAGCCCAGGAAAGGCTGAATTGCAAAGGAAGACCTTTCCCATAATTGGCTCCTTACCGCAGCTTTGTATCAAACGATTCTGCTTGGAGATTGTCAAGATGATAATGAACATTGAGATTTTACTGTACTTCTATTTTGACTAGTAGACTAAGTGGCAACAGGCACCAGAAAGTCTGTCTTCCATTAACGCGAATGCTCTCATGACCCATTGGCTTCATTAGTACCCTATCTCCTATCTGGAAACTGCTCTGGAAGCACACATACTGGAGCTGTTTCACTAGCTCCAAATATAACACCTGCCTCCTGAGCCATTATCTGCACAAATCCATAATTATCTGTTCTTTCCTCTCCAGTCAGGAATATCAGGTCCAGATCAAGGACTGGGTGCTCATCTTTTATGTCCTTATTCAACTGGATCTAGGCAATCCAGTTCTTTCTATTTTGGCTGATTCTTCGAAGAACCCCAACTGCTCTCCTGAGTGCCAGGACTGATGCATTTTCTCTTGTGATATTACAGCGAACTGAAATCCCATCAAAGGGCAAAGTCCATCCATTTCCTGGCGACTTTCTCAACACAAGCGCACACACACACACACAAAGACAAAATCAGTGGCTAAAAATAATTAAGGCAGCAATAATTTTCACCATGGGAAACCATCCAGATCCCGAGTACGTTTGTTCTGAGGAGGAGAAAGTCAAGCTGCATGCAGCCTCACGGGTATTTCATACCACGGTGATGAAAAATTACTTAAATCTTTCATGACGTGCAGATAACGTTCAAGAACACAGTACGCACACCCTTTCAGAAGGTTTTGGGGATTTTTTTTTTCCCTTTTCAGTACGCTTGCAGGGCAGTGGCGACCGCCGGCCTGCGGTCTCCCTCTCAGCGCCGGCCCGGGGCAGCGGGGAGGCGCCGCGGGTTGACGTGGGGCAGGCAGGGGCCAGGTGATCGCGGAGACAAAGGGGCTGGCAGTGCCCCACGGCCGCGGGGCGTCGGGCGGCCAACAGGCGGCTCCTGCCCCAGCCCAGGCATCGAGCCGTGCCGGGCGGGGCGGGCCCCGGGAGGCCGCTTCCCCTGGCGGCGCTCGGCACTTCCCGGCGCTCGCACACCGCGGGGAAACTCTTCCTCCGGCCCGGCCCGGCCCCCGCTGACGTAGCGCTGTCTGTGCCGCTGCCGCGGTGGGCGGGGGTGGCGGGGACGCGGGCCGGGGCTCGGCGCTGTCAGGCGGCGGGGCAGGGCGGGGGCGGCGGAGTTCGCTGCCCGTAAGGCGCGGGCTGAGGCGTCCCGGGGATCGCGGAGAGAGGGCGAGGGGCGGGAAGCCCTGCGGGAAGGGGCGTCCGCCGGCATCGCGGCGCCAGAAGCGCCCGGCGCGGTGTGAGTGGTGGTCCCGGTCTGAGCAGGACCTTGGTGGTCAAGCACGTTAATAAAGGCGGTCGGGGAGGAAGGCGTCCGGGGGTGCTCTATCCACGTTTGGTTCATCACTTTATCCTGTGAGGAGGAGGAGGAGGCGGAGAGGCGTGGGGCCGGGGCGGGCAGTGTCCCCGGCGGAAAGCCGCCCGGCGGGTGTGGAGGAGTGGCAAGCGCAGCTCGGGGAGCGCGACCCCCGCTGCGGTTCCCGACTGGTGACGGCCGCGCTGCTCCCCCAACAGGCAAAACTTTCTACACTCAAACACACACAGAGACACACACGCACGGCCGGGGCTGCCGCCGCCGCCGCCGCTCGCTCGCCCCACACACACACACACTGACGTCTTTTGCGCATTTCCTGCGCTGGAGCGAGCGGCGGAGCGGCACCGGCAGCGGGCGGGGGCTGCGCGGAGGGAGGCGGCCGGCGGCGGCCGAGGGAGGCGGCGGGCGGGAGGCGGGCGGGGGGCGGGAGGCGGGCGGGAGGCGGCGGCGGCGGCTCTGCCCATCGCCAGGGCGGCGGCCGCCCAGCCGGAGCCCGCCGAGACCCGCGCGGGCCGCTCCGCTCCGCTGCCGGCGCCCCCCATGCGCGGGGGTCGCTCCGCTGGGTCCTCGGCCTTGGCGGCGGCGGAGCAGGAGGCGGCGGCGGCGCAGGACGGGCGGCTGCGGGCGGCGGCGCGGATGGAAGGTCCCCGGGTGGATGTTTGCTGAGCGGAGGCTGTGCAGTAGGCAGGGCTGGTGGGTCGGCCGGTGCTTCTGATCCGTGTGTGTGCGTGTGTGTGTGTGTGTGTGTATGCGTGTGTGTGCGTGTGTATGCGTGTGTGTGTATTGTTGTGCGGAGCACGGGCAGGACTGGCGTGTGCGGGAGCCCGGGATCGCGGCTCTGCTTCCTCTGCGAGGACTGATCCAGGATTATGGTCAGGGTGAAGGGAGAAGGCTCTTGCTTACCCCCGGATTGATTATGCTCGGGTTTTGATAGCATTCGGGGGTTCCTGCAGCCGCGGCCGCCTCCCCCTCCCTGGCGGCCCCCCTCCCTTGTTTTCCGTTAGAAACACGGGCAAGAAAATAAATGTATTCACTGGGTGTCGCAAGAGCAAAGGCTAAATAATCAAAGGTAACAGCAGCAGCCAGGCGAAGAGACCCGCACCGTACCCTGCTCCCCCACCTCCCAGACCTGCCCTCCTATTTATTGGCGAGACCTCCCTCCCTCCCTCTGGGTGCGAGTGCGTTGAGCGAGTGTTTGATCCCGGGAAAAGTGCAGCTATCCAGCCATGGTGGTTTTCAATGGCTTGCTGAAAATCAAGATCTGCGAGGCGGTGAATCTGAAACCCACGGCGTGGTCTCTGAGGCATGCAGTGGGTCCCAGGCCACAGACCTTTTTGCTGGACCCTTACATCGCCCTCAATGTGGATGACTCCAGGATCGGGCAGACCTCGACCAAGCAAAAGACCAACAGTCCTGCTTGGAACGATGAATTTGTCACCGACGTTTGTAATGGCAGGAAGATAGAGATGGCTGTTTTCCATGATGCCCCCATCGGGTACGACGATTTTGTAGCTAACTGCACTATACAGTTTGAGGACTTGCTGCAGAACGGGAGCCGTCACTTCGAGGACTGGGTAAGTGTTCACGCTGTAGATACATACATGTACATGTGATTTTCACTGGCATGGCTCTGGATGCAACATCTGTCTTGCAGAGCTAGGTTACCAAGGGCAGGTAATGCCTCTGAAGGCTTTGCATTATTTCCACACTTTGTTTTACTGAGATAGTCATGGTTACTATATAACTAATGCATGTTATCTACAGGCGAGGCAGGAAAGAAAAATATGCTGAATCTAAGTACGAGGTGTGTAGTTACCTCGTAAGTTTCTGAAATTATGTGACATAAATACAAATCTAGTTGTCTTACTGAGTCTGAAGAACCTGAACCGAATGCATCTGTACCAAACATTATTGCAAAACACAGATCCAGCGCTTAGATGAGTTTCATCATTTCAGGGTGAATACTCTTGGTTAGCCTGGCAATGATGAACCTTAAAAATCCAGACCTGACCTCTGATGCGAGACACCTCAGGGTGTTCCTGTCACTTGAGAGCTCACTGCATCAATACTGATGCTCCTCCTTCCTTCCTTCAGATGATCGACACTTCTCTGCGTAGATCTAACGCAATGCTTCTTCAAATGCTCAAGACTGATGAAAGGGTCCTAGTGGAATATGGGCCCAACTGGAGAAATTCTCATGTCTGTACACACAATGTGTCTTAGCAGCTTTCACAGCGTCTTTAAGACCCAGAGGCTAACGTGCCTCAGTGGGAGTACAAAAAAGCTGGAAAATCCTTGCTCTGACATCCTCAGGTAGTGTGATTTAGCAGGGAGAAACTAATCAAACAATGAAGAAACAGGAAACGTGAATATGCACATTTCACATTTCTGCAGTTAAACTGTTAAATGGTGGATATCCTTTAAATGAGATGTATGATAAAACAACAGTAGCTATCATCTCATTTTCAGTGTGCCCTGCTCAACCAGCCATCTGAAATTATATATGCTGATCTTTTTATGTACTTATTTTTCATGGTCAAGGATACTGGCTGGTAGTTTTTTGGCAAACACACAAAGAACCCAGGACCAAAAAAAAAATAGCTAGGGTTAATAGGTCTGAGTTTTATGTATTCTTTGGGGCTTCTTTGTTTAATGCAGTTATATAGAGATGGGGAAATGATGAAAGGGCATGAAAGAATTAGACTCTGCTGATTAGGAGCTGATCAACTTTGCTGTTAAAACTTTTATCTTTACAACTTTAAAATATTTTTCATTTCTGCTGCCTATGTGTTGCATTGTGATAATCGGGGTCTAGATTATTCTGGTGCTCTATAAAAGCTACACATTAGTAAGCTCAAATGGTAAAAGTGGGTGATAGAAGGAGAAAAAATAGCTATAACAGGAAAAGACAAATGCAGCAGTATTGCAGATGTCTTTTACCTGTATTGAATGATAATCAAGTTGGGACTCTCCTGAAATCAAGTGAGGTTTCATCTTTGAGACTTTCATCTTTGAGTGGGATGAGGATATTGGCACAGATTTTTAGTGAAAGAATAATAATTTTGAATGTTCTTTTTGTGCATGGTACATGTTGTGAGTTTGTCACCAAATCTGGAAGAACCTTGCAGATTCCAGATGCCAAGTTTGAATTTTGGTGGGAGTAGGGTGCATCCTGGCTCTGATATTTAAGGTGAACTCAAATGTCTGAACAGATTCCCTAGATAAATAGTGGAATTGAACAGGTTGAGGTCCATTGTAAACAGGATCTGTGAGGAACTAGATAGCTGAATCAGATAAATGCTGGCTTTTATTGCATCAGGATTCATTGCTGTCCAGCATTCAGTGGGTGGGAGGAGATGAGGGAGTGACTACGCTTGTTGTCTGTTGTGTGACAGAATCGAGGACATGGCAGTGGATCATAACTGGTCAGCTCAATATAATGCAGCTTCTGAAACATCACTTACCTTGTTTTGTACTGTAAATCCTTACCATTAGGGTTGTGTTCATGTACTATAAAGACAAAGCATACACCTCCTCCTGTATCACAGTTAGAAGTGGGGGTGGAGTTAAGTGTTTACAGGATTGTGCTTTACCCTTTCCAAAATCTTCCTTTTTACTGAATGTGTCACTGTAATTCTAATTCTGAGTGTGATTAGTGGATTTATATATAGGGACTTCAAAGAACTGGCTCTTACAAAGTCACACCGGTTTTGCGTCGTTTTTCATTGAGTTACAAGAAGACCTGTGGCCAGGACATCTCTACAGAGTCCATACTGAAGTAAATAGATTTATTGGTATCTTCATCAGTGTCTGGAGTCTGTATTAAAACCTGAAAAAGAAGTTGTCTGCAAAGTGAATGAGTTTCACACTACAAGGAAAATGCGCATGGCCTAAACCAACATTAGGCTAAGACTGCTGGTATGGTACAGTCAGTTTTTTCTGTTTAGTAAGAGGACTAGTTCCTTCATTTCATTCTTGGCATTTAAGGCAGATATTTTTGTAAAACTCCTTCTGAACTCTGTAAGAAGCAAATTAAAACCAGCAATCACAGTAACCTATTCTTCTTTACTGCCTGAAATATCAAATAAATGCAGCCTAGCCACTTGAAACACACTTGAAGACCATCAAGTCTTTCTATGCCATTCTGAGGGTTTCCCTTTAAGCAGTCCTGAAAGTTGGAGCTGGGTACCAAGTACTTGCTGAGTGTGATTGGAGCAATTACACTGCTGCCCCTCCTTACCTTCAGCATGATGCAACAATTATTGCAGGACTGGACAGTCACTCTTAAAAGAGGGTTGAGAAAATGTCTTATAAAGGTCTTGTAAACATATTAAGCTTTAATGCTTTTGATGTCATATAGTACTGCATGGGGTTTTTTTAAGGAAATTTTAGAATTTGTTTTATAATATCTGCACTAGGGTCACGGTTATGTTTCTAGGTTTCTAGGTTCTTGTCAGAAGTCCAAAATGCAAAAAAGATTCACCAAAAAAAAAAGGTTTTGGGGTTTTTCCCCCCTAAGAGAAAACTGTTTCACATTTTAGCCAGCTCACCAAATTTGATTGACTTTTGCTATTGTTCATTGTTCCTTATATTTTTTCTCAGATGAATTTTTTAGGAAAATACAGGATATTTTTCCTCACTCTTAGGCCTGTGCTGTATACGGGTGCCATGGTTACAGTGGAAACACTAATGATAAACAAGTACAAAGCTTGAAATCATGATAATGTCTACTGTACTAATACAAGTCAGATAGATATGCAAAATCCTGGTTCCTTTCATCTACAGAGTGTTCAGCAGTTGCATTTAACCTTATAATACATATACTCCCTGAATATATATATATATATATATATTTTTTAATTATTCAAAGTTGTGGCGTGAAACAGTAATTCAGAGTTTGGTGGATCAAACCTTTTAAACAAAATACAGTTTTGTGGGGTTTTGGTAAGATCAATAGAAAACACTTGTTTAGGTTTCTACAATAAGTCTAGTGACAATTAAAAAGATGGCAGCTTTTCCAGTAGTGCATCAGTACAGACATAGCACAGTAAAAGTGTCAGTTTTGCAGATTTTTTTAGTCATGGTTACACTGCAGTTTTAAAGAGAGCTTTGGATTGATGACATTTCAGGCTTTTTGTAAGCACAGAAAATGTCATACAGAATGGCACCGAGTATTCAAGAGGATGCTGGTGAACTTAGTCTTTGAAAAACAAAAAATACAGAACAATAAACAACTTGCAAGTTTTGATTGAAAAACAAACTAGCAACTTGATAGCTCTGGCTATATTTTTTTGAGTTAGGTAATTCAGGTAATAATAAAATATGTTTTTATCTGGCTTTCTTACATGTGGCATATGTAAATGATTCACTTGAGTTGGCATTGCAGCTACATTTTAATCAGTGGAATTGAGATCAGGAAGGAAAATTCCATTGATATTTAGCCCTGTGGTTCCACTCCTGCAAATTATCATGATCAATGTTTATGTGTGTGGATGATTGGTAGTATGGGTTCTGAGTTCAAGTCCACTTTCCAGAGTTGATGACAGATGAAATCAGCATGATTGGACCTATGCCAAAGACTCCATCTAAGGGTCTTAGCCATTAGCCTGGCAGTACATGAGAAAACCTATTGAGCTGTCCTAAGAAATCCTTTTGCTGGCTGAGTAGCAGAACTCACTAAATCATTGAGAACATCAGAACATTTAACAAGAAAAGCCTCTATTTCCACTGAAAATAATTTACAGCTATATTTAGGTTAATGAAAGAGATTTGATTTTCTGCTGTCTTAAAAGAAATCCCTTATGCTGTCAGGAAAAAAAATAAAACATGGATTGTAGTGAGATTTTCTTTGCTAAAATATCTTCCATAGTATTTTTCTTCTTTCAGTGCAGCTTCTTCAAATCTAAATTTAAAACATTATACTTTTTTAAAAGCATCCTTTCATATTTCTGTTTTGCCAATGTGAAGTTAGTTGTGCAACTGTGCCGCCATTGTATAAAGCAAGTTTATTATGAATTAATCTAATATCTCAGTAGCAAGTGGATGATGAGTTATAAGAAATGGCATGGAGAAGAAGTTGCAGTCTATACAGTTAAACACCTAGGTTATCTGAGCTCTGAATGTCACCTGAAAGGCAGCAGCAGGGGAGGAATTAAAGCTCTTGAGAGTCCTTGGTCCTGTGAGCTGTCCGTGAATGTGAGAAGTAGAACTGTCTCTTTCCAGTGCCTCTAATCTGAATGAAATAGAAAGACTACTTAGGTGCTTTTTTTTTCCCCCCCTTCTTTAATGCCATTTCTGTTGTTGGAATGGGAACTCCTTTCTGCCAGCAGGTGATCTGTTTAGCTGGCAGACAGAGAATGGAATTGTCATCATTGTAGCGCAGGTCACCCTGTGCGTTCACCTCTGCTTGTGCCGTGCACTGCTGAGGGCTGGCTCTGGGCTGGCAGAAAGTGACTGTAGCATATTTTCATTTTTATTTTCATCTGCTGACTGAATTTATTAGTGTTGGTGGTGTTGAAAGGCCTAGGATTTCACTTGCAAAAACTTCAGATCTCAGCTAAACTGTGGTTCATGG